AAAAAAAAAAAAAAAAAAAAAACACTCGCAAGCGTGTGTGCACGATTTCTTTGACAAAAGATGGTATTCTTGAAAATAATTGTGAGATTAGATACTCCTTAGAAATTATTATATAAACATCAATGTAAATAGGAATGATCACCAAAGAAATTTATAAGTAATCGTTAGCGACATATCATGGAGGCGGATAAAATAGTCACCTAGGACTATCCTCGCTAAACAAATAGTTCGCAAACTTAAATGAAAAACTACACAATACGATCAGAAGCGAATAACAAATTATTTGAAATTCAGTTTTATGTTTTAATATGGTATTTCATGCAAGTGATAACTTAATAATTGTAAAGTACTTAAATTATTAATGAATTGTACCTACACAAATGAGTATTTGGTTTTATATACTAATATAAAAAGAAATTAGCATTTAAAGATATTCAGTGAAAAATAATCTGTTATGTTCTGATCGTTTCTCATCACATTATTCGTTAAATCGCCTAGTTCTAGTACATGCAATTCTTTTACACACGAAAGCATGGCGCAGTGTTCAAATACATTATTAAGTATAAGCTTTTATAGCTTAAAATTGAAGAAGGAAGTCACTTTTGAATATTTTACTGCGTGGATACTTTCTTTCCTCTAAGTGCAACTTCTTTCTTCGATATTTATTTAATTACGAATGCATTTAAACAAGAGACGCCGCGCAGTCAGCGAATAAAATTTTTTTCAAACAAATGAATTTGCTTAATGCCCAGATATACTTTTAAAATTAAATTTTTGTAATTTTTTTTGTAAGTTTGGGGTAATTTATGAAGCACATTGATACTACACGATATCTTCAATTTATATAGATATATATTTATATAGATAACAAAATTTTTAATACAGCAATTTAAAAAATTATGTTTTAAAGGACATTACGATAAATTTACTATATTGTATTTAATAACATCGTGTAAGGATGTTAATTGTAGATATGATGAAAAAAACGGGAAATTAAAAAATGAAAATTACACAGTATGTAATATACATATATTCTATGATCATTCAAAATTTTCTAATATTCTGATACAATTAATGTAGCATAATGTAAATATAAAGTTATAAGCTTTGTGAATGTATACACATTCATATGTCCGTAAAGTGTACAGATGTATTTATTCAGGACTATTAAATCTCTTGTGTACTTTGATGGGTTAAAAAGCATTTATTTTGAGACACCTTAAAAAAATTAGTTTCTTCATTACTGTTTATTTTTCATTCGATTAAAATTACACATTATTATTACTTATAATTCTGTATTACAATTTCTTTTTTCTTTAATAAATAATCTACATATTTTGTATTTAAAACAGCTTCTAAATTAGTATCATCGAAGTAACTTTTTATTTGCAGTTGATATTTCGTATCAACATCATTTAGAATATCTACATACTTTTTATTATCATATCCTATTGTATAATCTTCTATCGGGTAGTCGCTATAGCTGTATTTCTTTCGTTTCGTGTAATAAAAACAAAGATTTAGAAACTTTGACTTTTCTTTATAACAAGAATTATCATCATGGTAGAAAGGGTTTTCAATTGTTGTATTATTATCAAAATCCTTAATATCGTGTGTGAATAATTTTATGAAAAATAGATTCATATTGACATCCATAGAAAAATTTAGTTTTCCAAGAATTACGTCGGATAATAGTCTTTGATATATATATTCGTCATGTTTTAAAGTACTATAATCACTACTAATTATCTGTAAAACATGAGTTCTTAAATTTTCTGCAATAACTTTTCGTATTTCTATAATTTCATCTTTTAGCAGAATTAAACAACAATGTAAGATGGTTAACTTATTTTTGTTTGTTAATTCCGCAAACCGATAAACCGCGAATTGCATAAATTCAGTTGCAATTCGTCTCATATGTTCTTCTTCATGAACACTTAAATTAAGAGCATGGAACAGTACGTCATTTATCATTGTCTCGTTTCGGGAAAAGAGTAGTAGTATACATTTTAAACACCATAAATTAGAATATTTTGTGGGTTTTAATTTTTCAATAAATGAATTTTCTATTATACTTTCAATATCTAATTCACTTATATCTAATAACGGTATGTATTTCAAGGTTTCCAAAACGTAATTTATCATTGCATTTAAAAATAATTCGTTATGATCCCAACTGTCCAACAATAAACGTTTAAGTACAATCTTCAAAATTGGCGAGCAATGTGATACATGGTTTAAAAAAGCAATACTTTGATCAATGCAAACAGAGTATAAAATTTCATGAACAATATCAATATTAATATTATTTGTACGATTTATATAGTCAGCATATAATTCTATAGAAAGATCAATAAATTGAAAAAAACCCGGTTTTATTTTCTCAGAAAAGAGTAAAGATCTGTTACTATTAAAAAGAAATACGTCTTTATCAGATATATCATTAGAAATAAATTTTTTTAATTGCAGAAATAACGTTTCCAGTACATAACATATTTGCGAATTATTCTCTCCTTTGGATATTTTGCTCCAAATTTGTAAAACTTTTCGAAATCGTAGTAATTCTGAAGACTGTTTTAAACCATAATCCCTATATTCAATATTTGAACACAAATTTATATTTTCGATTTCACTAGATAACTTGTCGTTCAGAAATTTCATGGTTAACAAATAACCATGGATTAAATTAACATTTCGGCAGATGGAAACATCGCGCATTAATTTCTTAAATTCATATTTAATTTGTAAGAAGTCTGTTAATGCTGCATATGCTTTTGCAGCTAAAAGGCGAACATATAAAACAGGATTTTCAAACAGCATACAAAGTAAATATTTTATTTGATATATGTATGTTTGTGAGGAATAATCGATTAAGTTGCAAGTGCTGCTTGAAAATTTTGAAAGGAGTATAAGGATATGAATAATATTTGAATGTAAATATAAAGCAGTAGAAAACTTTTTAAACGTGAACGAAAATCTATGCAATTCTTTCATAACATAATCTGCGAGTACAGGATAATGTGTAACGAAATGATTAATTGAATAACCATTTCCAAAATCTAATTTGTCCCTGTAACTTTGGCCTATTAATCTCGGAACTATTGAGCCAAATAATTGTAGACTTGCATTTCTGATAGTCCATATTTCAGATTCTAAATATCTAAAACATGTTAGTGAAATTCTCTCCATGTACGGAGTTAACTGTGCGTGTATTTCTTTGTCGGCTACTAATGCCCGCAAAAAATGCAAATATCTTGCCCACGGAGAATCGTGTTGCGATTCTATATTTTTCAAACTATCATCCGAAATATTATCCAGTAGATCTAGCAATTTTTGTACCGCAAAATGTAAAAGAGGTCTATCTTGCCGATTATCACTAACGACAATTCTATGAAACATTATTGATAATCCAGCACCCCTTCTGGTAATATTTAACGAATGCATAGAATCATTTTCTAGTGTATGCAATATATGTGTTTTTGGTAAATTAGAATATTTAGCATTTTTACACAAACATCTGAAATTATTAAACCCATAAAATATATTTCCTATTATTCTATTAGTTTCAATTTATACCTTGTTAATTGCCCTATCGTTGTACCCGCAGCTTCCACTACACCTTTATGTCTACACCTGAGTAATACAGTAGCAATAATATTAGTGGAACGCTCGACCATATCATCAGAATACATTAATGTACCTATTTCAGAAGCTATTTCACAGGAGACCTAAGAATAAAAGATAATATATTTTATTATTTTACTTTTATGAAGCAGGGCTAAGACTAAATAATAAAGAATAAAATTTTTACCTTTAGAGACATCCAAATACAAGAAATAAGTACCTGGTGTGCAGGAGTTAAACTTAAATCATTGAAATAGATATTATCTATTTCACTATTTTTTATTGTTTCATTAATTGCTAATCCCATTTCTGCAAATGATGATGAATATTCTAGAAATTCAATTATGCATTAATCTAAGAACAACCATTCTTTAGAGAAGTTTTGATTGACTAAAATTGAATAAAATTTACCTGTATTCTCTGATTTTGAGGAAAGTATCTGTAGGAAGAAATGTACAGCATCTTCCAATAAATACAAAATTTTTTCAGTAAATTCAAAAGTTATACTGAAATTTTTTTGACAGTTTTGGAAAGCAGTATTTAATAGAGCAGTCATTACACCATAAAATGGTTTATTTTGAACAATTGCCTTTAGCACATCTTGTTTCATCTGTATTAACTGATTAGCAGCTTCATTAAATAAAAAGTCTGAATATTTCAAATGATTATTGCAATCTTTATGATCTCGTAAAATATTCAAAGGTAGCCAGTTTACCAAAATTGATATAAGGGTTACTCCACTTTCTATTTCATAAAATTTAGAGGAATTACAACTTTTCAATGCCGTGTGAAATAATACCTAAATCAATAACATTCTCTTTTTTTTAAGAAGAAAAAATCAACATTACTAAAGGAAAGATAAATAAATTCTTACTTGTTTCTCTGCATTAGACAAAATATTTTTATCAAAATAATTAAGAATAATAGAAGTAGTTAATTGTTTAACATCAAGCATAGAATCCAATACAAGCCTTAATAAAATAAATAAACTTTTCTTATTCGTAAATTTCCAGTTTTTGTTAAGTTTATTTATTACATGTCCATCCATAAATGAAAGTGTGGCTTTATATAAATTTAAACCAAGAATCTTTCTTTGATAACAAGAACCAATTTCAAAACAATCCAAAAAAAATTCATGCAACCAATGTGTGATATAGTACACATCATGTATGCAATCTTGATTATTATCACACATTTTTAAAACATTAGCATAAAATATCTTAAAATATTTTACAATTCCATCTCTCATACACACTGTTGTACTATTTGCATTATGCCATAAAAAATTTCTTATTTTAAGAAATTGATCTCTATTTTCATTGTATAATTTGGTTACTTGATAACAATTTATGGCAAATCCATTCAATCTCACAATCTCATTATTATGGTTTATATAACATTCTATACTTGCTTGTTGTGGAAGATCAACATGTATTTCACAAGCCATTTTTTGAAGATGTGAACGTAAAAAATGTTCTTTTATATCTTTGATTAAATCCCATAAATAAGGCAAAATGTTTTTATATTTCTTAACAACTGGTTCAATCCAGTATTTGCAAAGTAATTGAAGTGCATTATGATTTTCACTGTAATTGAATATTCACATTTAAACTTTAATTTTTTGTTTTATTTGTAAAAATCTAGAAGTTCAACTCACTTTTCTGACGATTCCCAATGGTGAAAGAGATAGTACATTATATCCCTAAATGCTTCTTTCCACTCATTTTCGCTTAATTTTTTTACAATTGCAAGATAAACTTTTGTACCAGCCGAACATAAGTAATGTTTTGTCAAACTATTACATAAGGAAAGTAGAAAATTATAAGATGTAATGATTTTAGTTTTGTTCCAAACTTTACAAATTTCCGCGAGTATATCATACTTTAACTCGTTTTGCCAAGAAATTGTATCAACACAATGCTTAAACAAATATTTTAAGTATCCACTATATTTTCTTTCCATAACTTTTAGGTACATATTAAAAATAAGTCCTGAATTTTGCTTACTTATTTCACTGATAGCATTACACCAATTTGAAAAAATAATTTCTTCAAGTTTCTGCTCTAACTCTGAATATGTGGTCCAAAAATTATTCTCTGTATTAATTGTTTTCAGCAACCACATGTATAATATTTTGTATGCAAAATAAGAATGTTTAGTATATTGAATACAATGCTCATATATAACATCAAAAATGAGAAAACAAACATCATTAGAATATATCTCATTCCGATTTACTTGTAAATACCCATAAGTACAAATTAGCTTAAATAATTCAAATTCGGCGGTATCATATCTTTTATCGAAAATATATATTTCATTACATTTAGAACTCAAAAGATTTGTAAAAATTTCTTTCAGAAGAACCAAACTAGATTGCATTGATAATAAAGCAAAAAATGTGTGGGAAGCTAATAAGGCTCTTTCTCTTCTTATTTTCATATTTGGAATAACAACTTCTATGGTATAGATAAGGACTGGTTGCCATTGTTTCAAATATTCATCATCCCAGGGTTCTTTGCATGATGAAGTAAAGTTTATCAATTTCTAAAAGGAACAACAACAAAATGTTTTATACTGAATATAATGAATGCTAGTAATTACAAATAAAGTTGTACATTAGTAAAATAAGAAAATACTAACTCTGAAAATAGCAGTGTCTTCTGTACATGTTTGTAACTCTTTAATTACATAATTCAATTCCATACTTTTTGTACACATTTTGTTATTATAACTCAGAAACAAAAAATTCAACTTAATAATTATGTATATTATACATATATTCTTATTTCTTAGTCATACGAATTCGTATTTGTTGTTTGAAAATTAAAAACTGCTTTTGAAGTTTGAGCAGTTGCATCAGAATTGTCTGTTTTATTTCCATCAAGGCTGCATGCCCTGCAAGTAATATGCAATAATGTTGCTTTTTTACAATTTTTTTCCTACATATTGATAAAAGTAATATACAACATAATTAACTCCTGCAAAGCCATAAAAAATATGTAAAAATTCAAAAGATAATTAATCATTGGTTTAAATGTAAATAAGCATATTATTCAGCAGCCATTAAATTAGCCTTTGCATAAAGTCACTATGTGCCAAATAATTAAAAACGAAAAAAATAAATTGTGTTTAATATAATGGATTAAGGATCATTATATAATATAAGACAATATTGTTACTTGTATCTTTTTATTATAAGTAATAAAAAGAAAAAAAACTTAATTTAAGAACAGTTCAATAACTATTAGTTTAAATATAATAAATTATAAATTACAATTGCTAAATTAGTTTTATATTTTATGTTACATTTTGTTCTTCAGGAACATACCCCCCTTGTTCTAGCTGCTCTTTGAATTTCAAGTACTCTCTCTTACGATCAAAGTGTTTTACCTAGTAAAAAGTCATAAAAATGGAGATTTAATCAAAAATGAATAAGCATAGCATATAGGAAAATTATATTTTTCTTCATATGCTATTGTTAATGAAATGAAGGCTATAAAATTCCTGTTCTTCAATCATTAAATCAAAATTAATCTTGTAATTTCTCTAACTTACCCATAGTGCAGGACAAAATTTTTCATACTGTTCTCTAAACTTTTTACATTCTGTTTCTGATTTACCATCATCAAGACAATTCCAATATTCATCCCTATGATTCCAACATTTTGCACGATCTTCTTTACTTGGAAAAGACATTCTAAAATAATTTGACATTGGAATATACTTTTATGCAATTTACTTTATATTTATGCTGTATTTTTTTATTAATAACAATTTAATTTATTTTATTTTAAAGTTTTTTTAAATAAAATTTCATATATCTTTCATTTAAAAAAAAAAAAAAAATTGTATTTCAAACCCAAAAGAACTTAAACTTACCTATACTAAATGTTTTGGAATTGAAACTCTTGAAAAAATTAGTAAATTTTCACTCACAAATTTCAAAATGTGGAAAAAACACTTATTTTCACAGAAATTAAAATAAGAACCTTAAAATAAAACAAAATGATTACATAATCTTGTAGTAACATTGTAGTTTACAGAGCAAAATGATGAAAAGAATAAATTTTTTTGACAAATTTGAAAACGGCTTATAAAAATATAACTTAATAGTGTGACTTTTTTATTTATGGTATAGAATATGACGACTGTACATTATTTAAAAAATGGAATTAATTTTATTAAATAATTTTTTAATTTTTTAACAATATAAAAGTATACATAGACAAATATAAGAAAAAATATAACAATCAAATTTAAATCTATTAATTATGTATCTTTCTTTTATATAAATGAAGGTTATTTTATCTTTATACTAATAGAGTAGCATATGAACTAACCTGTTTATCAGTTTTCTTACGATAAACTAAAATAATATTATAACATAAGATTACGTAAACTTATATTCATTACATGTATATATTCAATTTTTAAATTACAAATACGTATAATTCTTATTTTCCAATTTATTATAAAACATTAGGAATTTTTCAATACTAATTATATGATTTGTGCAAGCAGCTTAATTTATTATTCTTATCCTATATACACAGAAAATATTAATTTATTATTAAAATTATAATAAAAAAAGAAATTTTATTCGGAATATCGGGCAAATTAGAAAACACATGCGTATTCATAATATTTAACATTCTCACATGCGTTAAATAAAATAGAATCAGTATAGCCAACATAGAAATGACTTCATAGTTTTTAGGAATATGATTCGTTCTTATTAAATTTGTATCAAATGTTATGAAATTAGCAATTAAAAATAAAAATTTATTAATAAAGTGATTAATTAAATAAATTAATTTGTTATGTTTATAATGCATAAATATATCTTTCATTCTTATTTTATTATGTGCATGTATATTAATACATGTATATTAATATATAATTAGCAACAATTACCAATCTCAAGTTCATAATTTAATTTAGTATGTAAAGGATGATACATTTAGCACTATTAATTCAAACTGTTCAATAACTCTTATACAATAAAAATGTTAAATGTTCTTATACAATCTTAAAAACAATTGTTTATTTCATTAAGAAGATAGATGTTTCAATAATTAATATTGTTAATTATATCATCCTATATACATTAAAAAATAAAAGGTATTCTTTTCTATGTAAAATAAATTATAACTAAAACTATAACGACACATGTAAATAATATTCCACCAACTAAGACAAATCCATCCTGTCTTATTCTTTCCTCTATTAATCTCATTGTAGTATTTGAAAGACCTAATGTATTTCCAATGTCTATTAATTTTTTGTGAGCCCCCTTCAAAGTTATTCTTTGCGATCTCAAGCTATCCAAAATACTACTTCCACTTTGAATTATATCATCTACACCATGAATTGCATTTCTTAAACTAGAATTATGTTGTACATTATGGTCTATCATAATATCAATATGATCATTTGTGGTAAATGTCCTAGATAATAGTGCCTCCCTTTCAGACTCTTCTCTTTGTTTTTTAATCATTTTGTTTCGCCAAGAATTTAAAGCAGCTGTGAGATGACGACTGTCATATTTCAATTGATCCACACGCATCTTAGCATTTTGTCTTTGAAATATAGGGCCTTTGAGACATAATACATCCAATCGTTCACAATTACTAAAAAATAAGAACGTAAAATTTTAGAACATTTTTAAATCAAAAATAAAAATTTAGACAACTACCTGTTGATGAGGTTTATTTTTGATTCTATATTGTTTTCTATTTCCTTAACATCCAGGTTAGGCGTTCTTTTCTCAAGTTGTGAGAAAAGATGTTGCGTTTCTTGGACCAATTTGTTTGTTTGATGATATAGTAATTCCATATTTATTAATGAGTAAATTCATTCGTTTTATAACATTCATGAAAGTAATGACGTGTATGTACAAATACTACTGACAGATCGGTAACAGTGGTTATCAAAATCTATCCGGTAATACTTTTCGCTTTCCGATTGCATAAAAAATGATAGTTATTAAAAATATTATATTAAAAAAGTATATTATAAAACATAAAAAAATAACAAAGTTTTAAATAATTGTTTTGCTTATTTAGTAGTAAAAAAATATAAAATTTTCCTATTTTTAATCAAAACTGAATTAATACCTTCTACTTGAATGAATCAGAAACTACTGACATCTTTAGGTTTAAAACGTATACAAGACATATTTTTGTAAGTGACAAAATTTATGTTGGCTAGTATAATTAAAATGTTTATTATTTTTTAAGTATGTAATTTTCATAGTATAATACAGCACCTGTAATTTCGTTTTTAATTTCTAGTGGCTTGTTTATAATAATGATATATACTGGCTGGGGTGGCAACTAAAATCGTGTTTATTATATGTAATTCTTTTAAAAAAGAAATCTATCGTTGTTACAAATGGATATCGGTGAATTATTGTCTTACAAAGTAAGTTAATAATAAAACATTATTTATGATATGCTTGAAAATTTGAATTGCTTGAAATTTTTGTATTAACCTAAGAGTACACAGTGCAAGCTATTTTTAATTACTATTATTTTTATGTTTATTTTGTATAGCCACCAAACACACCAAAACGACCAATAGCAGGGGAAGAAGATGATGAGGATGAGTGGGAAAATGCTAAGAAACCAAAAAGGGTAATTAAAACTCCATATCATGCACGTCAAAGACAACCAAGAGAAATTGAAGTGACTCCAGTTAGAAGCAGTGAACCTCCTACGCCAATCAGAGCTGCTTTGCCTTCACCAGCAAATGACGTAGTTGAACCGCAGCTAACAGAGAAAGAAAAGCAAGATATTTTAAAATATGTAGAAACTGAAGCTCCAGAAATAGAAGCATTAGATGAAGCAACACTAAAGAGAATGATTCTTTTATTTGAAAAAAGAGCCCTTAGAAATCAAGAAATGAGAGTGAAATTTCCTGATCAACCAGAAAAGTATGTCATTTGTAGGTAGCATGCATGAAAGATCAAAATTGAAATATGAAATTAAAATATAATTTTAATTGCAACAGATTTATGGAATCAGAGGTGGAATTACACGAAACTCTTCAAGAACTTCATGTTGTTGCAACTAATCCAGACCTATACCCTTTGATGGTAGAATTGGGTGCTGTGCCTTCACTGCTTGAATTATTATCTCATGAAAATACAGATATAGCAGTTGGTGTAGTGGATCTTTTGCAAGAACTAACAGATGTGGATATTTTGCATGAAAGCCAAGAAGGTGCTGATACTTTAATTGATGCTTTATTAGAACAACAGGTTTGTGCTCTTCTTGTACAAAATTTAGAAAGACTGGATGAATCAGTAAAGGAAGAAAGTGATGGAGTTTATAATACTTTAGGTAATTATTATGACTTGATCATCATCATACTTTAAAATTAAATAGAAATAAATTAATAGTTTAAAATTAATAATTACACTTTAAAATTATATTACATTTTTCAGCTATTTTTGAAAATCTTTTAGAATTTAGGCCAGAATTATGTGCAGATGCAGGAAAGCAAGGATTAATGCAATGGCTCTTAAGAAGAATTAAAGCAAAAGCACCTTTTGATGCTAATAAACTTTATGCTAGTGAACTTTTATCCATTCTTTTACAAAATACATCAGAAAACAGACTACTTCTTGGTGAACTTGATGGAATTGATGTATTACTACAACAACTAGCGGCATGTATAATTTATATTTTTCTATCCTTCTTATACTTTGTATTTGTTTATGTTTCTTTACTTTATATATAAATATTTTCTTTTTAAATATAATTTTCGTCTATTTCAGTATTACAAAAGACACGATCCCCAAACAGCTGAGGAACAAGAAATGATGGAAAATTTATTTAATGTACTATGTTCAAGTTTAATGGCAACTGTAAACAGAGATAGGTTTTTAAGGGGTGAGGGATTACAACTTATGAATTTAATGTTGCGAGAAAAAAAAATGTCTAGGAATGGTTCCCTTAAAGTAAGTATAAAGTTTAGATACACATGTATATAGTTTAATGTTGGTAAGTAATAATACTTTATTTTAGGTGTTAGACCATGCAATGAATGGTCCAGATGGAAAAGACAATTGTAGTAAATTTGTTGATATTCTTGGGTTAAGGACAATATTTCCTTTATTCATGAAAACACCAACAAAAAATAGGAAGAGAATGCTTACTGCAGAAGAACATGAAGGTAACAAAAATATGATCGAGTTTCTTTATTTGTTATTTTATAATATTTTTATCAATTTTTGTTATTGTAGAACATGTAGTATCAATTATAGCAAGTATGCTAAGAAATTGTAAGGGCCAACAACGTCAAAGATTATTGAGTAAATTCACGGAAAATGATTATGAGAAAGTGGATCGATTGATGGAACTCCATTTCAAATATCTTGAGAAAGTGGAGGAAGTTGAAAAGAATACAAAAGTAAAAGAAAAGAAAAGAAAAATAAATAAATTTTACAGATATTTTACTTTACAATATATTCATCTATACTGCAATTATAGGAAGATGAAGACGAAGAAGAATCGTACCTGAGAAGATTGGACGGTGGGTTGTTTATTTTGCAATTAGTAGACTACGTTTTATTAGAAGCATGTACCGGTTGTCCACCAGCTGTGAAACAAAGAGTAACACGAATTTTAGCTCAGAGGAGGGCATCTCTCAAAACTATAAGGCATATTATGCGAGGTATATTTCTTGTTATAACTTTATATGCCATTTTTGTACATTTAATTTTATTATTTTTATTAGAATATGCTGGAAATCTTGGTGATGCTGGCGATTCGGAATGGAGGGAGGCAGAACAACAACACATATTGCAATTAATCGATAAATTTTGATGTATACTTTTTAATGAAGGACTTAAAAATTCGAAACTTTGTGTCATTTTTAAATTTTTTTCCGAAATTAACAACTCTGTCTACATGAGTATCTAATACATATGTAAAATATATTACTAGAAATATTCAATTTTTATATGCACGGATTAAAGATGGCGTTTGTAAAAAATTAAACGAATGTCATATATTTTAACGTATTTTTATTTTGTGTTCAAGTAAACTGTGAAGTACACACTCTTTTAAATTATGCATAATTAATCGATAAATTCATTGTTTTAATCACTTCATACCAATTTACATGATTAATAATACTATAGTGAACGATAACATGAAACATTGTACTCAAAATTTATAATCTATTTCACAGTATTCGTTTCGTAACACAGTATTTTTTCACCCATTGATGAAATATTTCATAACAATATCATAGATGTACGTTAATAAAATGGGTGAAAATAAAGCAGTGATCACAAGTTGTCATTGTTCGTATCATGTCAGTTTTGAGGAAGATAATCCCAAGTTTAACCGACATTTTCCGTCCATACGAATCGGAAGATACCGTTTATAACTTTCAAAATTATTATGGTGAAATTCTACTAGCAGACTGTTTATGGAAGAGTTGTTATCATAAGAAAAAGTTTGGTCTTTACGAAAAATTCGTCGTTAACAGTGGCTGCGTGAAGTACTTTCACAGATTCAACGACCGTGGCGATGTATTTCATTGTCAGAAATATTTTTCCTGTTTCGAATTCATCGTTTGCCAAGTAAGTGAAAATTCTGCTCAAATTTTTCGACATTCAAAACAATCGGTCAATAATCCTATGTTTGCAATATGAATATTGTAAACGCAAATAATATACATAGTTAGTATGTAATTTTACTTCAAATTACTGAAAATTATCCAGTAAAAATTGACATTTATGATTGAATTTAATGTGTATTCCGAGAAATTTATAATTAAATTTACAAAAAAAATACGCGCGTTTTCTCTTAGACTCACCGTAACTATGGTGACCCACGTGGACGCATGCGCTTTCACTTACTATATTTGATCGTAACACCGTATTTTTTTACTTCCATAGCAACTATAGTTGTACGGATACTTAACAAAGCTGATGAAAGATATCTAATTAATCGAGTTTTACATTTATTTTCTAATACATATTTATAATCTACAGTATTCACTCACGATATGTTCCTATTCTGAACATAGTGCCAAACCGAAGTGAGTTGATATGTGTAGTGGGGAGGGGGGTCAACGTTCGGCGAACGATCGATCGCGATTGGCTTAGCCGTGCAACATCTCACCAATCGAAGCGCGTGCTGCGCCCTTACATGAAAGTTTGCTGCACGAGACAGGCCAGTTTGCTGTTGCAAGCTTCAGAGGTGCGGTTGTTGGTCGTGTAAGCCGGTTCGCGGTGTTTTCGCTGTTCTTTAATTTCATGTTTAATTTCGGCATGTAAAATTAAAGATGTTTCTGGCAAACATGCCAAGGAAAAACAATATCCGTGCGTGATACGAGTGGTAATTTTTGTGCACCCATTTGTGCTGCAGTAATGACCGATCGAATTTGAAGAAAACTGCTGCGAGAAAGTGTCGATTTCTTCGAGGAAACAACCACGGTATGTCATCTGTCAATTTCACCCTTAGTTTTACGATTAATCCGTGCATGTTATTGATTGGTATCTTGCTCTGGATCGGAGCGTGCGTACGTGCGTGTATAAGCATATTTACGAACGCGTATTTTGATTCAGATAGTCGAAACTATGTTATCAATTCTTTTTCAATGTTTATGTCATTCTATGTTTAAAAAATGTTATGACACATCACTCATCATAGTATAAAAACATATGTATATAATTATCCGACTTTTATGTTTTTCTGTTACCGTATACGCATATGCGTATCCGTTTATCCAGAACACTCGTATCCGATAAAAATTTGTAAGAATTAACATATTACGACTATCGTCATTTATAAAGTCATAGTATATTTACAATTAGCTAATACTCGGGCCATTATAAATTATGCTTCGATATTGCGAGATTTTACGACGCAATCAAGTAGATAGTCAATTTAACCATGTAATATTCCATTGGACAATATTATCGTACTCATCTCTCTGTGCTAACTCGTTTCTTACATCGCATTCCTGAAATAACTACTTTTTACGGTGTCGTTAAAATTCGTAGCAGTCGTAGTTCGTTGGAAATAAAGTTTTCTTTTCGCTCGCCATGGGAAAGGGAAGAAACGATATCGACTGACCGTGATCGCGCTGATACTTTTATAATTTGATCCGTACGTGTGTTTGACAGCGGGGATTAACATTCCGGTGATGTGTTAAATCGTAGCATAAAATTAGATAATTTCGGATTTATCCGCGAAGTTTATTTGCGCGATTGTGATCGTTACAGTTCGGTTGGTCGCGCGTGCGGCTCGCGCACATAACGAACGTTAGACAATTTTCTTTCGTAGGGTTTCTCTTTCTCTCGTAACTCCAGCTGAGTGGCGACTTTGCTGTCCAAAGCCAATTTCGCGATTGCGTACCTGACGCTGCTGTGCACCGGTGACGTAACGTTGCTCCTTCCGATTTGTTGTTACGTGCACGTGCCGCGGAGCAACGTTCGTCACGTGATCGTTGGAGCTACTTTTATCCAATAGTCTGGTGTAAATGTCTGGACCATTCAAGGTGCATTCCCTTACCATGAGCAAGATTAAAAAATGTTTTTCCACCATCCTATATATTTAAATCTTCCAATCATTTTCAATAAGGAAGGTTAAATTGGAGCAATATTTTTCGAATTAATTCGGAGCAATATTAGGCCGTTTATATCCGCCAGAGGGCGCCATTTCCTCTAAATCACATTGGAACTAGTTTTATTCCGAAATCCAGTTACTTATTTCCTCGAGGGATGCGGTAATTGTTTCCTTAAATTACATACTTTTGTAACTCGACCACGTTTGCAGGAGGGGGAAGGAAAAGATAGTTGGCGAATTTTTTATGGTGAAAGCAAGATGCAAAATTCGCTATTAATATTTTTCAAAGCACAATACTTAATAGGAATTGAACGGTAAATGGTCATAAATAATTAGATGGTGATTAGCGATGGACATGTTGGCCAGTTGATGAAGGAACGTGTTTGGATAGAGGAAGATGAAAAAGTTTGTTAAAATTTCGTGGTTCTGAGATACACACTGGACGTTTAATCCCTTTGCCGTGGTTTATCGATTCTCGTCGGTGCAGAATGCACGCCGGTGCATCACTATGAATGCTGCAGACGACGTGTGACCTTGAACGAGTGGCTCGCGAAATCCAAATAGAGCCCGGGCAAACAAACCCTATGGTACTTTTCAAAGCAAAATTCGCTATCTATCCCGCTATACTTTTTTAATATCCAGCTACTTAACACACATCCTCGCGACATTTATTTTTCCTTTTTCCATAATGTTCCTCTTAATTTCTTCAAAATCGTCCAATTTATCAACGACTGATATATTTGATACACCTTTAAGGTTGTTCTTAATTATCGTTGGGGATGAACGATGGAGAGGACTTGAGACCACCGCATTGGATGGTCGATGGATTTTTTGTTTATGACCCGATAGGATATTTCAGTGACCACTGCAGTCGGTGCAGAGGAATTACAGAATACAGAATATGGATGAAAAGTTCGCGGAATTATTCCTTTGGACTGATTTAAAAGTTTTGCCATTTCGAAGGATCTGAGAAACGTTTGCACGGCAGTTCTTGCCCGAAAGAGCGAGCTGCCTCGAGAACAGCGGGCTGCTGGTAAATTGAAATACTTATTTAAGGAGGATCCAATTAGGCTGCCATTCCTGGAATTGCCGCGGCCAGGTTTACGCCATTATCGATCAAACTGTCCCAGATTCGCAAATTCTTCGTTGCTGAAGCGTTCATGCACAACGCTCCGGCTATCCTGTGCGTCTATAGTCGGACCTATCTGTTCAGCCTCGACCATACTGCCGCGTAAACATTTGCTTTCCACGATTGAGAAATTTCTTTTCATCCGGCAAATTCGCTTTCCTCGGGCCGACGTTTAAACTCTGTCTTCGAGTTTGATCTGTTAATTCGCGCGAGACGAGAAAGAAACGCGGCTGAAGGGTGTCTGAGAAATTTGGAAAGCTCGTTTCCTCTATGCTGGAAGTAATTCGAGGCTGAAAGCGGTCTGGAGTCGAGTCAATTAGCCAGAAGTGGATGGAAATCAAGGGTGGTTAAGGAATCCCTCTTACGAGCGACTTTTTCCCACCGATTCTCTTCGCATGGATTTTTTTTTCCTTCCCAGCCCAACCCTACTCCACGTCTGCTCTCTGAAAGTTCGTGTCTGAAAGGCTCGTGTGGCCACTCAAGTCGCGAAAACGCTGAGCGAGCTACTCAAGACCGTCGAGCGAGCTCGGCTGCCTGGAACGTGTAAGCCGCTTTCGCGAAATTTACGCTAATTTTTAGGTCAGATCCACGCCGAACCAACGGTTAGTGTCGAAAGGTACCATGGATGATCTCTCATCACGAAATCCCGCTCGTATGCTCTGCTTTCACGGAGAAATTTGCATGGGAGTTTGCCATAAACATTTCATCCACCGTGACGACTCGCCAGGCCTTTCACGATCTCCGAGTTACCGTCGATTTTCACGTGATACGCGAGCATCTCGTTCCACCACGATTCCTAAACTTCTTCCATAACAAACCTCGATTTCTTCGCCGATCGACCGATCGACGAAGAAACGAGACTTTTCAATAGCAGCCAGTGTCCCCGTTACCATTGTTGGACCGTCCCAACATTCCCAGCTTCTTATATACCCACCGATGAGGCAGCCTTTCAATCCACCCCTTTTGTTTCCTTCCCTGGCTATTTACTTTCCGCAGCCTTTCAACGGCCCTATGACGAAGAAGCAATCGCACAACGGGCCGAATTGAGCGCGTGGCTTTCGTAATCGAGGGAAGACGAATACGGGATTATGGTGATTCCAGGCGGTTGCGTCAC